AGGTAATTTTAAGAGTAAAATGACTCCAATGGTTTAAGTGTGAGTGACTAAAAGAACAATGAAGCTATGAAAAAGAATGAGTTTTAAGGAATCATCTTTTTAAAAAATGAAGAGTGTTGGAACATGCTCTGTTTGCATGGGCAGTAGGACAGCCCCTCTTGGGCCCATCATTTATAGTACAGCTGAGGTGAAATTGAAGAGACCTTTGTAAGGCAAAGGATTGAGCACTTACATACCAACTATATCAGATCCTAGTTTGGTGGCCGTCATAGAGATTAAAAGATCTAGCTTAAGTTTACAAAATCAAGACTGCAACATCAAACTACAGGAATGAATTTTTAGAATTAAAATAGAACTCTCATAATTCATTCAAAATCACCAAATAGTGAGTATTAAATATTGACATCTTTTCTACTTGTTTTTTGTCCACTGGATCTTTCTGAATTGCAAATTTAATACCTTTGGATATCCTCCTTCAAAGTGACCCTTCAGAGGCAGTCTTTAATATCTGATGCTAATACTAATCACTCATGCTTCATTTCTAGTCTTTCCATTTTCTTCTCAATGCAAAAAAAAAAAATGCTATACATCCTTCATAGTCTCTTTTCAAGGCTCCTCCTTCTAATGAGTTAGTCATCATTCTAATTACTACTGAATTTTTCTTTGTTAGTTGCCTCATAAAACATTTTGTGTTTGTTTCATCACCCCAAACTGTAAGTTCCAAGGGAACATATCTGTATCTAAAAGTTAAGGCCTCTCTGGTTATTCTCAAAGATCTCCAAAACCTGCTGAATAAAGAAATCAGAATGCAGAACATTAATATCTAAGAATTAATATTAAATTGAATATGTGAAAACTAAACTTTTAAAGTGAAATTACAGGCAGCAGAAAAGTAACTTGCCTTGTAGTAAAAAGGAATATATAAATGAGATACCATGGCAATAAAAGATCTTATTTCATAATATTCATTTAAAAAAGATAAAAACTAAACCTAAAAATATAAATGGACTTATCTCAGAATATTGCTAATATCAAAATTAAGTTTCATGCATTAAAAGAGTTATTACACATAATTCAATGAGTAAGTACCAGAATTAACAATATTTCATCAGTAATTTCCATAATCTATTGATCATTTTTAAGATAAGAAAAAACATACAAGAGTATAGCACACTTGTCATATCACTGAAAATATCTATGGCTTAAAACAATGTAAAGCAAAGAAGGAGCAATCAAGTCATTTTTATATCATGCATGATAAAGCTATGCATTGAGCACATATGTTATGTCACCATAGTGTTTAGGGTTAACAAAGGTATTACATGGGAAACTTCCCATGTCTAAACAAAGCACACATTTCAAAACAAAACAAATGGAAGCCAATGACCACAGATTGGGAATAGTTTCCTTTACATTTGTTTTTTGAAAGACATTTCCATGTCAATCAAGGCTAGGGAGATGGCTAAGTTGGTGAAATGCTTGAAACCCAAGAATGAGAACACACACACACTCAAATCAAATCACTTAAAAACTATCAAAGAAGGCAACTGTGCAACTAAATGTCACATTTAAATTGAGGTGGCTTTAAAATTTATCTTGACAATTATTTTTCAAAGTACTTATGGAAAATAGCTAAAAGAATCCAAATCTTACAAAGTATTTATGTAAAATCTGCATTATTGATGAACTTCAAGTACTATATAAACTTGGCCAGATACAAAAATCAATGTTTTCAAATATCTACTGTGACCTGTTTGAGTCTTTAGTTTACTAAAATTGTTCCTTTTAAATCATGTCTTCTGTTTTGGAAGAAAATCTTAGTCTAGTTCCTTCACAGAGGGCATTAAATAAAAGTTAAATACCTCTAATTCTCAGCTAATAGTATGCAGAGCAGATGCATTAGAAAGCTTCATTCGGATAAAACAGACAAAGGAAAGTACTGGTTCCAGATTTTCTCCCTCAGCTCTTCCCCACCTACTTACTGCCTTGATTCTACAAATGGCTAAAATAAAGCTCCTTTCTTCTCTACCAGCTCCTTTATCTTCTCCAGGCAACTTAATCATATTCATCTTGCAAAATGAAGTAAGAAACCTTTCCAAAGCTATCTTCACATTAAGTCAACTTTCTGATTCTAGTGCTTCAGGACTAAAACAAAGTAATCTCATCTTAAATTGGTTTACAGCAAGCTGTCTACCTTATCCCAGCTCTAGGAACTGATGAAATGAATAGTTTTAAATAGAACTTTCTGAAATGACATGGGAATTAATAGCACGTAATTACCTCAGTGTTGTCAAGAGATGTTTAACTCCTTAAAAGAGCTTTTCTAATTCACCAGAGTCAGAGCAAGGCCTCACTGCATGAACATTATCAGAGGATATATAAGGGAACTTTACTGATTCAATCACAAAGGGCACCCTAAAATCATTGAGTTAAAAATGAAAACAACCAACTTCCATTTATTATTTGGAATGTTTATTTAAAATCTCACTATGGTTTGGGGCATAAAGGAAAAATCTTATTTTATATTCAAACTTTCAATACCGCTATGACAAAAATTAATTATGCTCTGTTACTTAAAAAGGTAAATTGTAAACATTTGTGGTGGTTTGAATGAGGATGGCATCTATAGGCTCATATATTTGAATGCTTGGTCCCCCAGTTGAAGAGCTGTTTGGAAGGATTAAGAGATGTGGCCATAACTAATGTCTGATTTAACTTGAGGCCATTCCACAATGGATGGCCAGGTACTGGAAACCGGATGGCCCAGAGACCCAGGGTAGAACTAACACAACTTGCCTAAAACACCACCACCACCATAACAACAACAACAACAAAGAAAAAAAAAAAAACAGCGAAATGACTCCTAATGATATTCTGCTATACTCATTGACCAATGCCTTGTCCAGTTGTCATCAGAGGCTTCACCCAGCAGCAGATGGAAGCAGTTGCAGAGATCCACAGCCAGACATTATACAGAGGGAGAGTCTAAACTGGAAGTCTCCATCAGGTCCCTACCCCCAGAACTCAGGGAATCACCAAACTGGGGCTGGAAAGAGTGTGGGAGTCAGAGGGGATGGAGGACATGAGGAGAACAGGCCCACAGAATCAACTCATACAGGCTCATGGAGACTGAAGTGGCAAGCACAGGGCCTGCACGGTTTTACACCAGGTCCTCTGCTACATGTTGTGACTGTTAGCTTGGTATTTCTGGCGGACTTTGTAAGAACAGGTATGTCTTTGACCCCTTTGCCTGCTTTTAGGACTCTTTCCTCTTGTGGGGTTGCCTTGTCCAGCCTTGGTGTGAGGGTTTTTGTCTTGTCTTGTATTTTATTTTGTCAGGTTTGGTTGTTATCTCTTGGAGGCCTGCTCTTTTCTGAAGAGTGATGAAGGGAGAATAGATCCAGGGGAGAGCAAAAATGGGGACAACTAGAAGGGGTGGGAAAACTATGGTTGGAATATATTGTATGAGAGAAGAATTTATTTTTAATAAAGGAAAAAAAAAGGCTTCAGCCTTGTTGAAGTGGGTATGGCCTTGGAGGAAGTGTGTCAAAGGAAGTGGGCTTTGAGGTTTCAAAAGTCCACACCAGGCCCAGCTCTCTCTCTCTCTCTCTCTCTCTCTCTCTCTCTCTCTCTCTCTCTCTCTCTCTCTCTTCTCCCCCTTGCCCCCCCTCTCTCCCTCTGTCTCTCTTCCTCTCTCTCTCTCTCCTCTCTGTCTGCATCTCTTCCACTCTTCTCTGTCTCTCTCTCTCTGTCTCTCTCTCTGTGTGTGTGTCTCTCTCTCTCCTGTGGATTAGGATGTAGGTCTCAGCTATTTTTTTCAACATCATGCCTTCCCTAATGCTGCCACACAGCAATAGAACAGTGACTAAGACACTATTGGATTTAGAAAACATAACAGCCAGTAAGTACATTTCCTATCTTTATATCTTAGGACTCTAATGAAAACTACTAAGCATAATACAATAAATCCCTGCATTTAATAGAAAGATATAAAAATTATAACAATGCTATCTTGACAGTAGTTAACATTCACACTTTACATTCATTCTTGTCTTTAATTTATGCTAATTAATTGTTCAATTCTGTTTTAACTCCTATGAATATTCCTAAAACAGATTTATATTTCTAAATACCTGGAATGGATAAAAAGAATGCATTCTCAGTGGAAAATCTAGATAGATGAAATGTACTATAGAGTAGCTACAATTTATTATGTTTCCCCAGGTGTTTCCCGTACTCTAAGTACGGAGCCTAAGCAGCCTAAATGTATATTAGGGGCTGGGCTAAGGATTTCTCATTGCATGCTAGCAACCTCTTAAGGGGTATGCAATGTGACCCCACTTTGTACATAGGGAGGCAGTGATACTGAGGGTCCTGACCTGTTGCTAAATAGATGACAATGGGTAGAGCCTGACTATCAGCTAACAGTCCAGCACCATACACACAATGAATTCCAACTGCTTTTCTGTTTAGATTTCTCCCTACAAGACTGCCATTATTTCCACTCTCAGTAAAATATGGAGCTTATTGATTGTGTTTATTCTTTCATCAATTTACTATGTTCAAGGTTGAATTAAATGTCAGCCCCTAAGTCTGGGACTTGTGGGCTAGTGTTAACAAGGGGAGCTCCCTCTTGCCAAGCCCATGTAGAGCTATTAGGCACATTTAAGCTGGTTACAAAGCACAAGACTAGCTTGCTAAACTGAAACCTTAAAATGTTTTCAACAGGAATGTATTTTGAGCTCCAGACATTTTCTTTTCTTTTCTTTTCTTTTTTTTAAGTCACTTTTTGCAAGCTGAAAACCAGATTTGACCTAGTACATTTGCAGGGGTTTTGGCTAAGTCTCATAATCTTTAGCAGAGTGATGTCATAGTACCAGGTGCCAGTAGTAGGGTTAGAAACTCTAAGTATACTTATCTACAGTTTTACTAAGAAACAGCCAAAGTCTAGTCCTTAAAGATGACTCACGCATCCTCTTGATCTACGAAGGCAGGCTCACCTGAGTTTTGTGGTAGGTAACCTAAGGAGAAACCAAAGGAAGTGTTTTGTTTTTGTTTTGTTTTGTTTTTATTTGAGACAGGATCTTACTTGGAAGCCCTGGTTGTCCTAAAACTCCATATGAAGACCAGGCTGGCCTTGAACTCACAGAGATTCACCTGCCTCTGTCTCCCAGGCTCTGGGATCAAAACTTGTGACACCACACCCAGTGAAGTTTACATTTTGAAAACCTACTTTGTGGTTTAAAAATTCTAGTTTGAGGTCAGCCAGGTGTGGGGGGTGTTGGTGGTGCACACCTTTAACCCCAGCACTCAGGAGGCAGAGGCAGGAGGATCTCTGTGAGTTTGAGGCCAGCCTGGTCTATAGAGCAAGTTCCGAGACAGCCAAGGCTATACAGAGAATCCCTGTCTTAAAAAAAAAATCTAGGTTGCTGTCAATTTGTTTAAAAAGCCTATTACAGATGGATCACAGATATTTAGTTTTACCAGGATATGAAGGTAGAGGAGAGTATACAGGGTAAGACAGATACTTTAATTTTACCAGGATGTGAAGGTAGAAGAGAGTGTGAGGGATAAGATAGATATTTTAAAAATAAATTATTTAGTAATAAGAAACTAGACATAATACATTTTTCATATGCTACATAAACAAGCAGACGATGAAGGCAAAAGGAAGGCTCACCCCAAAAGAGGGTAACACTTTCCACTATAGAATAGCCTGCTTTCCCAGACAATTAGCCTCACAGTTCTTACATGTTGCATACACATGTGGAAAAACTTGTCAAGCTTTGCCAGGGCCAGCAGATGAAAACATAACATGTCCTAATTAGCTAATTACAAAGCATGAGCATTTTGGAAAAGCATTCATACAATCCAGCCATTGTTTTGTTAAACATCTGCAAACTATAGATTTCCTCAGACTTAGCCATAATTCCTACTTGATGTCTTAAAGTTGCTGCACTGTGTCTCTTTTCAAGACTGAGGTGACTGCTAGTCATCAAAGTCTGAAATGTCATCATAGGAGTAACCCCGGTAGCCTTTGGATGCATAGTAGGCGATGCGCAAAAGGTAAAATCCTGGCAGGAACACCAAATTGCCAATGATGAGGATAGGAACAGCTCGGTCTGCCCTCCCCCCCCCCTTTGCTGATGTAGCCCAATAGCAGGAGAGAGCCTATGATTATGAGAAAGGGCCAATCAAAAACAGCACGGTGGCAAGTGCAATGGCCTTATAAGGGATCTTAGGAGGGCTTTTCTTAAACTGAAGTTCAATGTAGCCATCATCTGTGCTGGAAAGTCTTGGATATTTTACTTTACTACTGGGGATCCCAGCCGCCAGGTTGGTACGAGATGGCATAATAACACGGTGGCACAGCTAGTGCGTGGCGCTGTGGGCAGCCTCCCACCAGCCTCCAACGTCGCCATCCCAGTCAGGACCCATGTGAACTTAGCACTAACAAAACTGGCTCCAGGAAGCAGCCTTAGGGCGAGGCCTCAAGGCTGGCTTCAGGGAGCCTGCTCCCAGCTCCGACCAGCAGAGTGTGTCCCGCTCTCCCGTTCCAGACATTTTCTAGAGAATAGCCTGCAATGGGCCTTATTTAAGGGATGGGAAAGGCCAGGAGATGTATTAAATTTGGGATTTAACTCTTGGGGCCTAAGAAGTACAATCTTAACTGGATATTCTCAGTGCTTCTGAGAATCAAATAGTGAGAGCAGCCACTGCTCTCACAGACAGCTAACAGACTACCAGAGTCCTCAATATGTGCAAGAAGGACCTACCCACCAATCACAGGCATGAAGAATCTGCAGGAGAATATGACTAAAATGTCTACCATGAGTGCATACTCTAGAGTGTAAACTGCCTTGCCCCTTCTGTAAGAAGTCACAGTCTCTCGCCTTCATTTTCTTCCCATGAACAAACTCTTATTACCTGTCCCCAAATTCCGCAAAAGAATGAGCACCAGAAACTAAATTAGATCATTTCCAGGCAATTTCAGGGCTTCAATCTTAAATTTTGGTTTTCTAGGAACTAGTTAAACAGATGAATGTCTTAGCCTATTTAGAGCAATCAGTCATATTTAAACTAGGTGACAAAGTTCACTGGATGCTCTTGCTAAACTGAAACCTTAAAATGTTTTCAGTAAGAATGCATTTTGAGTTCCAAATATTTCCTAGAGAATACCCTGCTAAGAAAGCTATCAAGGTTATACTTTATAAATATTCCTGAATATGTGTTCTAGATCAAAAGGTAAGTCTTGATAGGTTATTTGTAACTTAGGGATGGTTAAAACTACTTCGTGGGGTTCTAGCATATAGTATTCAAAGATAGCCACATATGAATTGTAATACAAAAGAACCTCATTAGTTTGTGCTTCATTTATATTGTAAAAAAAATCTTCTAAGTTCTCTTATTAATCAACTTTAAAGTGATTCTAATAACTACCCTGCACCTACCAATTGTGTAAAGATAAACACTGAAAAATATAATACAAATTTCACATGTAAAAATAAATCTATTAATTATACACTTTACATACTATGTTGCAAGTAATGTTTATTGTTTTTTAGTTTGCTATCATCACAAAATTTTTTAAATGTCAAGGCTGGGAAAACGTTATAAATGCATATTAAAATAGATTCTCATTTTTTTAGTGTCTGAGATGCCAGCCCATGTGTAAGATAGACACTAGCAGTTTATCTGAAGTGGAATGTAGGAAACAGCTGGACTGTGGAGGAGAAAAGAGGGGCAAGGCTCTTTCTTAGATTGTTCTCACTCTTCCTCATCCCCTCAAGTGATACACTTAAAAATCCCCTTTGTTTTTAAAAAACAACAGCTCTATAATGACACTATTTGCATTGTCATTTCAAGATATAAGGTTAAGACTACAGCACCTGTCCGAAAATATTCTGGACCTGCAATTCTGCCACTCTGTGGATCTTGCACTTTGTATTATAGGTCCCCTTTAGTCAAGTGAAATCTATTATAATTCTACGAAAAGACACATTATAGGGGCTATGGTTCAACTGGCAAAATGCTTGCACACAAGCACAACCGCTTTAGTTCACTCCCCAGCACCCATATTTTGGCATTGTGGTATGAGTTTGTGCTTCCAGCACTGGGGAGGCAGAGGCAGGAGATTCTCTTGGGCTCACTGGCCAGCCAGCCTCACCCAATCAGTAAAGCCCAGATTCCAGAGTGACCCTATCTCAAAAGATAAGATGAACAGCCAATCTGAGGAATAATGCCTATGAGTGTCCTATGAGCTCCATATGAGTACTTCCAAACAGATACACACAGAGAGACAGACGCACCTGCTCACATACATATACCTTCACATGTATGCATATAGCCCCCAACACACAAACATCCTCAAGAACAAAATCTAAAAATGCCTATTTGTGAACTGGCATTTAGTGAATAAGATCAAATAAGACACTGGCTTTTGTGAATTTGTGCCTCAAATAACAAGATGTGGAGAAGAGTTTTAGTCATGGAAATACATTTTTAAAAAAAGACACAGCATGATAACTTCATGAAATCTAGTTTTATTACAAAATTTAAAAGTCAAACACTGTAAAAATGCATTTAATAGCTTATAAGGTTCACAATATTCTTATCTGCTTAAAGATAAAGAAGCAAATGATTTTCTTGGCCAAGGAGAATTCAGGTTCAATGTTTAATGCCCCCATTCTCCAAGGCTTGGTCAGCCCTGTAGGAAGACAATTATCAAGGCTGGAGGAATAGTCCCTGCTGCCTCTTAGAAGTAAACTCAGGAGCTAAATTAAGGTACTTAGAGGTAAACTCTCAGAATGCACAGAGCTTGGCTGTCAGACTCCCGTGGACTCTGGCACAGAAGGCTAAACACTCCTATTTATTTAGAGAGCAGGAAAAGAATGGGACAGCAGAAACACAGCTTTCTCAATCATCCTCCCAGCTCCTGCTAATCAGTGGGAGTCACACAGCTAACAACTTCATGCTATGGTTTGAAAATGCAAGTTTTAATGTGATTTCATTATGGTGTCCTTGTATTGAAAAATGTTTATTATGTAGTTTCAAATTTACCTGAATGCTGTGGGGAGGGGCAGGGGGAAAAAGAAAGAAAAGGAAAGAAAAACCAGCAGGAAAGCTGCCATTGTACAAAAGAAGGACATAAAATTCAAGCCATGAATTAAGGAGGCAAATGAAGGCACTCTCTTCCTTTATTAGAAATAGAAGAAACAGATTGTGTTCATCTTGCTTAGGGCCAACAGGCACACTTCATGGAATACAGCCAGCATCAGTCACAAAGCTCACTCAGGAGTTTTGCTCTGTGAAAAAAAAGGAAGCCAGATGGGCTATTTACTTTCAACAAGATAATTCTGGAAGAAATTGTTATAAGTCAAAGAAACTTTTTAGCTTCATCTGCTATTTCAGCCTCTAAACTGATTTGAGAGCTCTGTTAGAATAGAAATAAGAGAACTAAGGAAATGAAAAAAAGTAAAGGGCAAAGTCTTAGTAGTTAAGTGGTCCAAGAATATACGTTTCGAGGTCAAGTAACCTGGGAGTGAGTCACGGTACCCATGGACGAGCTATGTGACCTCTAAGTGATTTGGTTTCCAGAAGGGGAGCAAGGTTATCAAAATAGCATCACAAAAGATGGTGAGGATTAAGTCTCACGAATCAGAAAGGACATCCAAAACACAATGTACACGATGAGAATTTAGTGGGCATCAGACATTTTTATCTGCTCCATTTTCTTTGTGAAACTGAAGGAAATCCATCAGAGATGTAAATATACAGGTCACTGACTAAACAATTCCTAAGAACATAAGAGCTCCACATCATAGTAGTCTCCTGATGATGTTGGTCATGATCTACTGGTGATATTCCTGAGTTTGAAAATGTCTCTTCTATTTTACTATCATAGGGGAAAAACAATCCAAACAATTTTATCATTGGATGGATCAAAACTTTGAGTTTTTCCTACCTTAAAATTACTTCTTTAGTTGGGCAGTGCTGGTGCATGCCATTAATCCCAGCACTA